GCTGGTAAGTTTGTTTGCAAACATTTCATCACTATGCCAGGTAACATCATCAGTGTGCCTCTGGTGAAGTGTCGGTGTTCTGTCCCACTTGTTATTTATGTGTCTTGGTTTGATCGGGTGGGTGGCATCGCACCTAACATGCATTATCTGACCTAAAATGTCACTTCTTCTTTACACTTTTCTCAGTGCAGTGATTTGAAAGAAATTCGGGAATTAACACATACGTATTAATCAATTAAAACCTTCTAACTGGTTAAAGATTTAACAGCACTTTAGGTTTGTTTAATATATCCTCATCAGTGGTGTGACCCTTTGATCTTTTACTTATAAATTCTGTGTCTAATACTACCTCTCTTACTAACACCTGAAGAAGGACTGAGGCTCCAAAAGCTTGTGTTTTCAAATAAACTGTTGGACTATAACCTGGTGTCATGTGATTTCTAACATTATAAAATCGATTACAGGCTGGAAGAGCATTGAAGTGGTCACATCTGAAGTTGACAATGGCAGGGATGGGGCTATCGGTGTGTGCTGTAGGTGTTGTAAGTGTTAAAGATGGGAGATGTTGTAGAGATGGAAGTAAACTGCCCTTGTGATAGGAGCTCAGAGGTTCAACTTGTGTTCAGAGATTGTGAACAGCCTGAATTAGCTTAAGGCAATGTCTGTGGAGTGGGATAGAATGGGTTTTGTGGTTCCAGGGTTTGTTTCTCGTCCTCATGTTGGAACCATTATGAAGTTTATTGGCATTTACTTCTGCCACCACTTAACTACTGCTGTGAATCGCCATTTGCTTTTCAATGAGACTGAAGTTGTAACATTTATCTGATTGCAGCTCAGAATCTGAGATCCACATCCAGGAGGAAGTAGTCTCTCACCAGCTTGGGTTTGACACGACATGGAATGTGAATCTGATGTACCGCCAAGCTTCACTTTAAAAAGCGCTCTGTGTCTTTTGGAAGCTTAAGGCTAATCAATAAAAAAAATCATTTTCCGTTTGCTGCTGTTCTTGCAGAGTTTGGACATGAAACCTTGTGCATCTGAGTAAACACACATTAGGCGATCTCTGTTCAGGCCACAGAAAAGCATTTCTAGGAAGACAAAGAAGATACGACCTGGCTGGAAGCTGGAATGCAGCTGCTGTTCTTTCTGCACTGGTTCACTGAATAAATGAAGTGTAACTCTTTGAGTTTGGCTGAATCTTTGACCTTACAGCACAAGCACCACCAGAGTCTGCCAGGGAAAATACCACAAAGAAGCCATTCACCTTGCAAACCACTGTTGTCTTGTTTGGTAGGAAGAACTTGCATGTCACATGGGAGAATAAATGACTCCCAGGCATCCCAAAATGTATTCTGTATTGCCCATCTGTTATAAAATTTATGGAAATGTGCAGTAAACTTAAGACACAGATTGGGAGGAATTTCTTCTCTGAGAGGGTATTCAGTCTGTGAAATTCTTCAGCACGACAGGCCTTCGAGACTGGGTGATTTCAATACGTTCAAGGCTGAAATAGACATTTTTAATCAGTAAGGGAATCAAGGATTATGGGGAAATGATAGGAAAGTGGGCTTGAGGGTAATCAGATCAGCCATGATCTCATTGAATTGACAGAGTAGACTCGATGGGCTGAATAGCCTCTTCATCTCCTTTTGTCTTATGTCAAATCAGGAAAATGAACAACACTTGCAGGATCTTCCTGTGCTGTCAAGATGCTTGACAACCTTTTACCCACCCTTAATCTTTGAAAGAAATTCCTCCAAAATGTCCCTGTTTATTAAATACTCCTGAGATCAACTCAAAGTTCTTTAAATTACTCAGGGTTGACATTCTGCTTTGGTTAGTGGTGGTTAACATGTGGTTAGGCACTTTGGGATGTTTAATTTATAATGGTTATAGATGTTGGTGCCAGTAGCTGAGGGATAAACCCGGAGGGAGAAGTCTTTCCACTCCCCTCCCATTGGGCTATTGACAGAAATAGTAAATGTGTATAACTAATAAATTTACAATTTTGCTACGAATACCAGACCAACAAAATATTTTCCTCCATGGATGTCTGTCCTGTGTACCCTTGTAAACATTGGACCCATTCCTAATCAGATACTCAGCTGGTCTTTTCCAAAGACATGGCAATGGTTGTTGTTACTGAAGCATTGCTCAGTGTTTTTATGAGGCTAAAGTAGTACTGTTCAGTATTTGTGGGACCATAATCAGTTATGAAATCCATTAGGGCTTTGCCATCTGGGTAGGTAAGGGAGCAGGAAGTCAGTTAGGTGAGGGAGTTAGTGTCAGGCAGGTAGGTCAGGAGTTGAGGTGGATCATGTCCTAGGAAGGTGGGGTTTATCAGGTTCAGAAGTATAGGGTCAGGAGTTGTCAAGAGTGCCAGTCAGGGTGGTAGATGGGCAAGGATGGGCTGTCGGCTGCTGCAAGGCCTGCTTAGCTTGAGGAGGTTGCCGTCGGCTCCGTGTGGGCCAGGATATGTGAGGGTTGGGAGATTGCCATCGGATCTGTATAGGTCAGGGTGTGTGAGGGTGGAGAAGTGTTGTCGGCTTCATGTGGGCCAGGAAATGGATTAACAAGGTAGGATTATTGGTTTTGGGAGGGCCGGGGAGGGACGAGTGTTGGTTCAGGTGATTCTCTAACCAATGGAGTATCTGAGCCAATGCTTCTAATTCCCTGAGTGCAAATTGTTTATGAAATTAGTGAGCAATACTATTGAAAGGAGTTTAAGTCAAGCCTTTTACTAAATTCACTTATAGAAAGTAGTAAACTAATGAATACATGCTTCATTTGAATTTGTTGTGCAACTCTCATAATTTATGGAGCAATGGAGGAAATATTACCTCTGATGCTACACTTCCTCCACCTTTCCTTAAAACTTTGCCCCTGGTTATGGCCCTTCAACTAAGGGCAAAGGTTTGTCCCTATCTACCTTGTCTATGCTCCTCAGAATTTTGTACACCTCGCCAGAACCCCAGCACCCCCACGCCACTGACCTCAGCCTTCTCGAGCTATATAGAAAACAACCCCTGCCTACCTGAAGAAGAGTCTAGGCCCGAAACGTCAGCCTTCCTGCTCCTCTGATGCTGCTTGGCCTGCTGTGTTCATCCAGCTCTACGCCATGTTATCCCTCCCTGCCTACCTAGTCTTGCTTCACAGTTGAAAATGCTCCAACCCAGATAACATTAGAGTTAATATTTTCTACATTTCTCTAGTGCAATCCCTGTGTGGTGACTAGAACTACAAAACAGTTTTCCTCTTTATACAGCTCTGGAATCATTTGTAGCTCAGTTGGCTGGATGTGTTGGTTTGCGAAGCAATCTGATGCCATCAGCATGGGCTCAATTCCCGCACTGGCTGAGGCTCCCATGAAGGACTCTCCTTCTCAACCTGTCTCCTCACCTGAGGTATGGTAGCCCTCAGGTTAAATCTCCACCAGTCATTTCTCTCTAATGAAAGCACGGTGCTATGGTCTGGTAAGACTATAGCGACTCAACAACAACATATACAGTTCTATCATAAACACTTTGACTAGCAAAGGTGAGTATCCCATATATCTTCTTAACCACCTAAATTTACCAGTCCTGTTGCTCTAAGGATCTATAGATATACACACCAAGGTCCCTTTGATCGTCTGTACTTGATAGGTTCCATCATTCAACGTGTACTCTCTTGCTTTGTTTGTGTATCCATTCTAATTGCAGGAGTGGCTCAGCTACATTGAATCCTCTTCAATATTCTGCCACAGGATTTGAATGTTTTTATTGACTGAACACTGCATGCTCAAACTCAATCATGGATTTCCTCTGTGAGACACCTTTGATTTGTCATAGGATGAGAACTAATCACAACCTCCCCTGTATCCATGACATTAAAGAATCTTCACAACAGTGATACTTGAAAGCTGCAGAAAAACAATTGAGTAACTCAATAGGAGCAAGAATCTGGCATTGATAGTTGTAGAGGAACAGACTCTGTTCACTCTTCTATGACTAAAAGAGCAAGAAAATAATTGAGGTATATACCTCAGGATCTGCTAGATATCACACCTTCAATATACATAATCAGAGGTTATGTTTATTTAGCACTGTTAAACGGGAAATAAAAGAGTGGGTGAGATTACTACATTCTCAAAACTGGGGGGAGTGCCTTATTGCCAGAGGTGCTAAATTTCAAATGAAATGTTAATTCCAAGTCCTGTCTGTGGAAGAGATTTTATGACAGTATTTTGAAGAATAGGCTATTCATCCACAGTGACCTAGCAGTAGTGGGGAGGTGATGGTATGATGGTCCTGTCGCTGGACTAGAGGCTCGGACTGATGAGGGGCACAGGTTCACATCCCACCTCAGTAACGTTTGATAAATCTGGAATATAAAGCCAGCCTAAGTAATGGTGACTATTGGTTGTTACTCAGGCCATTGGTTTCACTTTTGTCCTTGAGGGAAGGGAACCTGCAGCCCTTACCAGATCTGGCCTACGTGTGACTCCAAACCCACAGTAATGTGATTGACTCTTAACTGTTATTTGAAATGACCTAGCAAGCCACTCGGTTCAAGAGCAATGAGGGATGGGTAACAAATGCTAGCCTTGACAAGGATTTACACATCCCATGAAAGGATAGTCAAAAAATGTTTTTTAATTGATATCACATGTAAATTGGTCTGAACATCCTTATCATCACTGTTTTTGGATCCTGCTGTGTACAAATTGGCTCCCACCTTTCCTTAATCACAATAACATGAGAGTTCGAAAGTGCTTAATTGCCTATAGAGTGCTTCGAGAGATCTTGTGTGGCATGAAAGAGGTGCTATACACATGTAAGTCTTCCTTTGTACTATTCACAGACAATGTTATCTGTTTACTTGTCAGAAAGGTAGGTTTGGTTACAAGAAAAAGAAATGTGAAATCTCTAAGTGGGTAGTGACATTGCAGATAAAAATACCAAATGATGTCACTCACTGTTGTATGAAGTGAATTTGATGGTTTTTACTTTTTGTTTCAGAGTGTGGAGATGAGCCCTGCCAGCAGCACACATTCGCTTCCTGTCAGTCCTATCACTGAGATGCCCATTCCTTTTAAGGTAGGATAAACAGTTGGATGTTGTGTTATGGTAAGCTCAGTGGGAATTTTTATAATGTATTCACATATATCACATTTGTTGAACCCATAAATGCATGTTAGAGGTTTAAGTTTGCAGTCAAACTGTTCACAAGTTTCAAATATACCAGAGAGACTGGGAGGCTTGGGCCAACACAATTCATACAAGCATTTAGGAAGGAATGTCCTTGTTGGCAGAAACTCTGAAGCATACTGCCTTCATCAGCCCAATGCAACTTCCCAGAAGATGGGTTTGGTCAGGAATGTAGATAGAAGAGGTTTTGTTATGGTTATGAATGCATTTGGTACTTGATGAGATTGAAAGAAGTAAAATAGATAATTCAAGCTGATTTAGGTTAATATTTAATGGTATAAAGGTTTATAACTGATCATTATCATTGCTGCATCTGGCATTTTGAGGTAGAGGTAAATGGGTTTTTGGCTTTTTGTTCTGTGAAGGTGATTTTTTTAAAGGGCCAGAAATTATGATTTCTTTTAACAATGAGTCAAAACATCATTTCCACAACATTGTGCGACTTATGCTAAATGTCTAGAGAAACTATTTGGTGAGATAATTGCTGACATGTTTACTAAGTGGAGCTTTTATAACCCAGGAAAAGACAATGAGGGGCTAAAGGTCAGATGCAGGTTCAGGTCAGAAGAAAAATTCAACGCCAACAGAGGTGTTCTTTGGCAGCCTCAAAGTAAGAGAAAAATCAATGATTTAGCCTGCCTGTGTGTCTTGGGAAGAAGCAAAGAGAATCACATCTGTTGAATGTGTAGAAAATCACCAAAAGGAAATACTTGCCACCTCATCAGCTGAATAAGAAATTAAAGAGCAAGGATTGGAGTAATCATTTGCTGGGAGATTGAGTGTCTGTAAATGATAATGCTGGGAAAAGCAATATTAGTGCAGATTAGGTGGACTGGTCATGCTAAATTGCCCATCGATGTCGAGGGTAGGAAATGCAGGGATAGGGTAGAGGGTGGGTCTGAGTGGGATGCTTTTCGGAGGTTTGGTGTGGACTTGATGGGCTGAATAGCCTGCTTCCACATAGTAGGGATTCTATGATTCTGGAAAAGGAGATTGTTCAGAGCTGTTAATGAAATATGTTACCTTAGTAAAAGATGTCATCTGTGAAACTTCAAGACCAGAAGTGTTTTGTTAGAATTCTTTTGACTATTAAAACTTGAGGAAGGCTAAGCTTTAAGTTGTGTAGATGGCCAAGAAGAAAGGCCTCATAACTCATGGAACCACAACTGAGAAGAAGCATTTAAGTTAAACTTATAGATTTAATATGGAAGGAAAATTTTTCTATACTTTGATCAACTGTGAAGTGATCATGTTGGAAAGTAGATGGGACTTTGTTTTGCCATATGTTTTGAAATCTTTAAAACTGTGTTATGCTTAGCTTGATTCGAGTTATTTTATTGTTTTGCATGTAATAAACATCTACTTGACTGTTAAAACCAAATCTGCAGAATTGTATGCTATGTTTCAGTGAAAAACCACCACTGTAAAATTAAGCAAATTGTGATCTATCAAGCTACATTTAATTCTGGGATCTGACTTGTGCGGTAATGACATCAGGTGGATCGTTACATTTTTTTTCCTCTCCTTTGCATCATAAACTATATGTTTTTTTGTTAAAAATATATTGGCAACCTCTTGTGAATATGTTCAATGACTGACCATCACAGTAACCAAACTGAAGAAAATTAAAACTGGTGGTCGACCGAGATAGGTTTCACTCTGGAATATGACTTGTCCAACATTACCATCAGTTTGGATCATAACATTGGTATTAAGCAGATAAATCAGTAAAAGATTGACAAAATTAGCAAATAATTTACATTAGTGAAAGATGGATGCGAGCTATAAGCAAAAATATGGGTTGGAGCAAAGCTGACTGTGTACCAGGTACTGTGGTTAGTCTCTGGAATGAAATATGACAATCTCTTGAGAAATAGGATATTAGGCGGCTTTCAAGGAGTGTTGTATTTTCTTGGTGTAGAGACATGTTATACAATTTTGACATAGCTGCTTCAAGCACAGTACTGCAAACATAGGGAGGCTAAATAGATGAAAATAAATTGCATAAGATATCATATATGGTACTTTTATGAATGGATGATTAGATTTTGCTTCCAAGTCTGTGATTGATTTGTGGCATTGATAGTATCCCCTCTACAGCAAAGATACAAAAATAGGTGATTCTCAAAATGGACAACTGTGTGTAAGAGTTTGTAGTTGCCTGGCCTCTGAAGTTGCCAGGTCAATCCTACACTCTTTACTCCTGCTTGAGAAGAAAGCTAGTCTGCATCTGACAACTCCAATATATTTATCTCAGTCCATTGGTTTAGCAAAGGTCATCAGTGGGTTCCCTAGCAGAATTTGAGACAATGTATTCTTTGCAGAGTAATTTTCTATTTTTATTTGCTTCTTTAAATCATTTATTTTTAAAATTAAAATAATTATGACAAACTGAAAAGCAAAATGTAGCCCAAAAAAGGATATTTTATAAAAGTAAAATACTTCGGATGCTGCAGATCTGACATTAAAAAAAAATAGAGTCAGAAGGTCTGGTAGCATCTGTGGAGAGGGAGAGTTTACATTTCGAGTCCAGTATGACTACACAAAGCATATTTTATGTAAAGTTAGTCAGATTTTATTCTGGGAAATTATGTTTATGGCCCATTTTTCATTTTATTGCATACGTTTTTCTTAAATTTGGAGGGAGTGTATATTGCAAGAATCAAGTATTTTGTTATACTGCCCTCTCCATTAAGGGGGTTAAAATAAAGTTGTTCAATAAGGACAGCTAGCTGTGTGTCCACGTGATGTGTTTTCCTCAGAGCAAGACGCAACAATAGGGGTTCCTTGTGGTGGGGAAGTATTGTCCCTACCTCTGAGCTAATCGACTTACATTCAAGTGTCACTTGCTCCAAAGGTGCATTATAACATGCTTGAACGGTTTCATTTGAAAATATCCAACTACACAGCAAAGGGGAAGGTAGATTGGATATAAGTGGACAATTAGGACAGCCCCTTGTGCAGCTTGGAACAATTCTGGAGGAAGAAGTTGGGATTATGACTTTAAACAGGCTCTAGAGCTGATAGGGCAGACTTTGGTGAACAATTTCCTTTGGTGTGGGGAGTACATATTGTAGTGCAATGAGAAATGATACAATAATATGATGGTGATGGAACAGTCTGTACAAGTGAGAGATGTTCTTACAGAGAACAGAATTATGTGCAGTATTGTAAATGAAATAGTTTGTGGAGTCAGCCTGCAGTCACTCATAGGTAAGGGAAAACCTTTATGAGTCACATTACACGAAAGACAAGGATAGCATCCTCTCCACTGTGCAGAATAGAAACACTATGCCATAAGCCTTGTTGCAACACAAACTACATAACAAGGGCACTTATTGTTTTAGCTTTTGTTTTAAGTCAATGCTGTACATTACCCACTGGGTACTGGTCTGGAGTATCTCAGGCTGTTGGTGTCTGCACATACAAAGGATACCTGGAAGCACGTTATTTGGTTCTGATCCCATTGTTGTTAGCAGGAGTTTGCTGTGTGAAAATTGGCTGCTGTATTTCTAACATTCCAACAATTACTACACTTCAACAGTAATTCAGTGTACTAGACAGTTTAGAAAGTCCTAAGGTTTTGGTGAGTGTTCATGTGTATATAAATATATATAAATGTGTATTTTGACTGTTACGTAACACAGCTTTAAAACTTGATATATGTATTTTATAGAGGTAACCTAATAAGGAATTATAATCATGTTTGTGCCAAAAAATCCAAGCTTTCTAAATTGAGCTTTATAAACAAAGTGCAAGCAGCTTCTGAGTGGTGAAATCATGCTCTTTTCTGTCAGATAGATGACGTTTGATTGTTTGAAAACTTTACTGAAGGAAATACTTTTTGCATCAACAAGCCAATTGACTATAAGCCTTTCTGTGGGAAATTGATTAATATGGAGAAAGTTTTTACCATTTCCTGTCTTAGATCTGTCTGCTTAATGAAGGCAATGAGTTACTTTTGAACACTTTGCCCAAAGAATGAGTGAAATTAGTATGTCGGGAGAAAATGGTAACAAGTTATTATTACAGCTTTATTTTCATTGCTTTTTTTTTCTGAGTGGACCACTTTTCGCAGTAAAGCTTTTTAGCTACTGAACAAGGTGTGCTTAATTCCTTTCCTGAATAAAAAAGCAAGCAGATACTTAAGGAGAGAAGTGGCGCATTGTTTCGGAACATGATCAGTAAATTGAAGCAAATGTGTTATGTTTTCTTTGGATGGGGAATTTCAATGTCCATCACCAAGAGGGGCTCAGCGGCACCTCAACTGAGCTAGACTGGGTCTGCAGCAAACAAGAAGGACAAACATACTTGGCCTCTTCCTCATCAACCTGCCTGTCACAGAAGCACCTGTCTATCACGGTATTAGTAAGAGTTAGTGCTGCATAGCCCTTGTGGCTCTGACAATATTCCAGCAATAGTACTGAAGATTTATGCACCAGAACTTATCACGCACCTAGCCAAGTTGTACCAGTACAGTTTCAACACTGACATCTACCTGACAGGCAAGTTATGTCCCATATACAGAAAGCAGGACAATTCTAATCTGGTCAGTTATCATCCCATCGGTCTACTCTTGATCATTAATAAAGTGATAGATGGGTCATCAACAATGCCATAAAGAATTACTTGCTTAGAAATGAGCAATCACTGACAACCAGTTTGAGTTCTGCCATGATCACTTGACTCTTGTCCTCATTACAGACTTGATTGAAACATGTATAAAAGACCTGGACCCCAGAGATGAGAGTGAATGGTTTTGAAATCAAGGCTGCACTTGACTGAGTGTGGCATCAAGGAGCGTCATGAAATGAGAGTCAGTCGGATCAGGGAACCTCTATCATGGTTGGAGTCAAAGCTAGTGCAAAGGCCTGTCATTCTTGCTGTAAGATATCACT